GCTCCCAATCCTATTCATCCTCTGTGCGCATGTGCCAACATGCATCAGTTATTGCTGGACAACAAAATTATTGGTTTCAATATTTTTTACTTGAATTCTATCAACTTTACCGAAAAATAGCAAGAGATAAAAATTGTTTATTTTCTTCTAATAGAGCTCGGAAAATTTTTTCAGAATTTTAACTTTTTAGTACTGCATTTTCTTGCATTTTCTTGAAATACTAAAAATACAAAATATTAATACAAAATTTTGAAAAAATTCTCAGAGCTGTATGAGAAAAAATAAATAACTTATCTTTTGTCAACTCTATAACATAACTTAACCTGTCAACTTCAACGCATGCGCACAGAGGACGAATATATAGTTTTCCCTCTCGCACATATCTTGGACATACTTTCGTGCCAGCATTTCCCCTCCATATATATATGCTCTAAGCTCTGGGTTAACCCACTCTGGGTTAATCCACTCTAGGTTATTCAGCTTATGTTTATTGGTCAAACAACTACTTATAAGCTTTATGATTGGCTAGTAGAGACTTATGACGTCATTAATCGCTCTCGGAGCGATTAATCCAGGGCCTGTCTACATGCTATAATTTGCAACGGCGCAGAAATAACGGGTCTAATAATCTCGTAGACCCCTTAAGCTCACTTTGCGCTCGGGCGGCGTTGAATGTTGAACATTTGCCATAAATTGGTAAAATTGTACTTAAAATTGATCGCGACCCCGCAGAAGTAACGTTTCCCTAGATCGTTCTGTTTGATGACTTGTGCGCGTGTGTGTGTAGACTCGAAAGAGTTATGGCTCCTGCACACAGGACACGGTAATGCTTGCCGCGCAGCAAAAGTCCGCGCGACAGCCAATTAATATGTTGTTTTTCCGTAAGAACTAGAAGGTTATTACGGAAAGCAGCATATTGATTGGCTATCGTGCGAACTTTCGCCGCGCGACAAGCATTACCGCGTCCTGTGTGCAGGAGCCATTAGGCTGGGAGCACAGACTTTTGCATAACGCATAAAGGAATCAACCAATCAGAAACCTTTATTTCCCTCTCCAGGATAGAAATGAATGACTCTGATTGATTGAATTCCTTATGTATTATGCATTATGCGTTATGAAAAAGTCTGTGCTCAGGCCCTAAGTTTCGCGAGTTTAACGATAAAATATCGTCAAATAACCACCTAAAATGGACATATCGCAAAATGTGCAATCGAGAGTTTCGAGAAAAGTATCGCGTGTTTGTTGTATTCGTGTTATTGCCACGACGAAGCAACTGAAAGTTAGGATGCTCGATTGGGAAGCCAAAACGGCGGACGTAGAATAAGGTAGAACAATAACCTGCATAGTGTTTAATTAAATTGCATATACTTGCAGTTCCGTCAATTTTTAATCGCTCTTCTAACTTTCGTAATTAATAGCTCGGTAACGCGTACAGTAATGTTAACAAGTGGATGGCACTACAATAAGTTACGTTGCTTCTACATTCAAATCTTATTACTAATTTACTCAATTACGTTTACTTGGTGACACTATATTTTTGAATTAGTCTGTTACAAATTTTTGTAATTAAAATCTGGGCAATAAGTAAAGTCGTTACGTCAATGCGAAAATTCTTTATATTTTATTTATAAACTTAATATAATGTATTGATCCAATTGCTACTACGTGATGATATATCACCCCATTTTACTAATCTTGAATGCGAAGAAGAAATCATTGAAATCATCGAAATTTCGATTTTGATTTCGTATACCTGGTGGCTCACCTGCGAGTACTGCATCGAAATTTCGAAGTTTATTTCGAGCGCGTAATGTGTGTGTGCGACGTTAATGTGAGTTGCACGGCGGTCTTTTTATTTATTTATATTTCATGTTTATATAATATGTAAAAATATTCCAGCAAACACAATGTTACATGTAACGTACATGTTAGTTGTAATTTCCTACTCAACAATATAACTGTTATATAACATGCAACTGTTATATAATAGTTATATTCCCAGTAAGCAAATTTAGCGCAGACTGGTAGTAAATTTGATCAAAAATTTATATCAAAACCATAGTCATCTGTGTCCTCATTCAGCTACGGTTTTGATAACAGAGCTTGCTGTCGGGCAATTGCTGCAGATTTGCAGCAAAAACCGCGCAAAGCCTGCAGCGCAGCAAGGTCTGCGGTTTCTGCCGCCAATCTGCCGTCAGATTGCTGCAAATCTGCAGCAATTATCCGACAACAGGCTCTGTAGTATATCTGGTGACAGTTTTGCAGCAAGATTTGATATAACAGATCTTGCATCAAATTTGTTATCTATTTGCCATCAATTCGCACAGGTTTGGCTATCTGGGTTGTTGAGTAGGAAATTACAACTAACATGTACGTTACATGTAACATTATGTTTGCTGGGATATATGATATATATATTATATAATATATGTATATATTATATAAATTATATATAAATAATGAAACACATAATATAATAATATTTATATATAATAATAATAAGATATATATATATATATATATATATATATATATATATATATATATATATATATATTTCTATGCTATACAATAAATTATACGACTATTTTTTTTCTCCGGTCATGTTTAAAAAATTTTACTATCGTATCAACTGTAAGTCTATAACACAACTATTGTTTCTTGAAACAAATATTTTATGTCGTGTACTCCATTTCAGAAATAATTTTTTTTGAATGTGGTTCTCATAATTTCTTCATATATGACATCACCGATGTGTGAGGTAATGCAGGTGAAAAGACTGGCTTTCCATCTTCATCCACGTAATCATTGTAATCGAGTTTGTACACCGCATCAAAGCCAATTCGTGCGCAGAGCTTGGCAGAGAACAAGGACGTGCAGTCCGCCCTCGCGTAATGGAACCCTTGTTCCTTCGCAATCTCCCTGTAATGCAAATGAATCGAGAACATCCACTTATATATATATATATATATATATATATATATATATATATATTCTCTGATGTTTTCATCAGCTATCTTATATGGAATTACTAGATATTAATGCTTTCTCTGCTGCAACGTGATGCAGTCACTATAGATTCCGATATAAACGCATTATTTACACAACATAATACTTACACACTCTTTTCTACGAGGGCCTTCGCGATTCCCTGTCCCCTCCAATTTGTGTCTACCGAGATTATTCTAATCTCCATAATGTTCAAATCTCGAAATTGTCCGCCTACGTTCACTTTTTTATCTACGTAGTGCAATAACCGTAATATTTTCTTGAATTTCGGATTTGTGCATGACGATATGTATTCTGGTTCTTCGTTTGATGGGGGATCCATTTTGCCTACAATGAATATGAATGAATTCATATTATAATAAAAATATACACTGACAAAAGAATATGTAAAGATTTATTTACAGTATATAAAATTTATTCGCAGAGAAATAAATTTTATATCCCACAAATTAATTTTAAAGTATTTTTTCTTAGTACATCTGAGAAAAAATACTTGTACATCTGATTACGTTTTAGGTCAATCAGGTGAGCAAATTTTTTGTTTGCCTACTTGCATTCTCTTGTTTATCTTAAAATTATCTCTTTACTGCTGCAAGCATTATATATAGCTCGTAATCCGCAATATATCTTTAGTTATTAATATATAATTAAATTATGTGCAACACAGCTACTGTTTGTCCTTCTGTAATGTTCCTCTAAGTCGCTTCTGTCGCTAGTTATAAATACATTATTACACGATCAACTCAAAGTGATCAAAAAGTGATCCCTTTTTTGCGTGGTGGTGTGTTTCGTGTGATTAGCAATCATTTGCGATTATTCATGACATTTCAAACATAACTATTTATAAGTTTTTCTTCCAAATCTGCTTAGTTTTTTATACTTCTTCTAATAGATGCGACTCCGTGCACGTAGCAACGCATCTTGCAGTGCGTTTACATATTACTTTAACGATGACTATTAATTACGACCCAAGTGAATTAAATTAACCGCATAAGTGGTATGACGAATGAAGACTCTCTGTGTACGTGTTTCGTGTGGAGTCCGCTGAAAATTACAAATAAACTTCGTATTCCAAACGCATTGTGCCGTTTTATGCGTGTTTTTGAACGTTGAATGTTTCTTTTTTTGCTAATGTTTCTCGCAACACTGTTATAGCATGACACGCACTTACGCGATGTTCGACGTACGATTACAATTTTCGTAAGCTTGTTTGCGTGTCTCACGCGCATTCAAATGTAGATGCATATTTATTAACGGGATCCGCGATGCAATTATCTATTTTGAATCACAACCGGTATCGCATAATAGCTCACGGAATCATTCGAGATCCATAGCGCCTTACGTAACACCGAATAGTACCGTTGTGTTTCTTTTGTTTTTTCTTCGTGCTGCATTTATCTGCATACGTGATATATCTCAAATTAACGGGTAATTTTTGCCGCTATTCAACCGAGACTATTACGCGCGTTAAAAAGAAAATGAAGATAAATATACAGCAGTTTATCTTCTCCATTCTTGTTGGTATTCGTCTTGTCTCTTATTCTTACGTATTATTTATCTTTATGCATGATTTTTTTAGACGTTAATGAATATACACATATCGTACCGCAAATACGAAACACTAAACCAATCTAAGAGCGATTTATTTAATATAACATTATCCACTTGATCTCGCATCTCACATTTCAGCAATATCAACAAACTGAAGTAAGTACGCGAAATGCTGCAATTCTAAGCAAATATACGAGTAAATCGTAAAATCGTAAAGTCGTAGCTTATGAAAAAAAGCAAAAAAAATCATAGATATTTACGACTTATCATGTAACATACGGTCCACATAGAATTGCAGATCTACTTATAAGTTCTTATGAGTCTTACGAAAACAAATTACGAGTTTTACGATTTTGTTTAAAATTACAGTATAAAACGAATAAAAATCGTGGATTTGATCTCACGCGCGATAATTGGAAGAAATGCTCGTCTTACACGATTTTTCTAAGAACATATACACAACGACGACATTTTAATACTTGGGAGATGTAACGCGATGATTGATCCGACTGATGACGTGAACGCTCGACAATAAAATTCACTGCAAGCGCGAGATTGGTCGTATGTAAGTCGAACTGGTGTCCCCCTCAAAGATATAAATCACAGATTCTAATATAATCGTGAGTTTTGACTCTTTAAAGACGTCCCGGTATACAAAGTGTAAAGTTAAAGAGCTATGAGTTAAAGAGTGTAAAGTTACAGGCTATTATGTTGACTGTTAAAAGTCAAAACGTCCTTGAATTTGCTTTAACGACTCCATCTAGAACTATCTTCATTAAATATTGTTATCTTTTTTTTTTTGGATACCAAATGATTGATAGAAAACGAAAATTTCATACGCTTGGTCACCTCGCTAGTTTAGTTTTATATAGTTTGTAACTTTATACCTTTAACTTTACACCTTATATAATGTGCAACTCGTATAATTGTATGCACATATTGTTTTGTATGTGAATACACACATACACACACATACACACATACACACATACACACGCACGCACGCATGTTTTCTCAGTAATCTGATAAGCGTAGAATTTTTATATTTGTAGATAACTGCTTTTTATATTTGTAGATAACTATTGTTTATAACTGTAATTTCCAATCGATTATCGAAACCCGCCGCCAATGTGCTATTTAAATATATAGCTTTCGGGTATACTGAATCTGGAGAGTATATAGGTTCGCAGTTTAGTATATTACAAATGGTGTAAACAGAGGATGTCGAGGTTTCGTAGGACACCGGTCGAGCGGATGAGATCTTACCATTGAGCATAACTCCCACAATCGCGCCACTCGCGGAAACTGCCATCAGACTAAAGCCATTTTCGAGTGATGCAGTGCTGCAATAGTCCTCCAGTTCGATGCAGGTACTATCTTCACCTTCCGGGATCAATTGGATACACTGATTGAGCGGCTCGTCTCTGAAGAAGAACCTCCTCAGGAACTTCAGCACTTTCAATTTGTCATCCTTGTTGATTATCTCGATGTGATAATCCATGCTGCTGTTCGTCTCGTCGGCCGAGTCGGCCAACTGTAATGAAAATATTGCAAAATCAGGATTATTGCAAACTGGAATTTACGGAGCTCTTATTGAATATATTTAACATCGCGAAGAGTGATGCGATTTTCGCAGTGAAAACTCAGCGACTGTTTGTTAGTGTATAGTGCATGGCGATGTTTCAATCGGAGCAATATTATAACATTAACAGGACCTGCAGCTCGACGGGATTTTCATGGTTGACCAAGACGCTAAGCGAACGTTGCGCAACTCGGACAATGGGAAATGCAAACTCAGCGTTAATTCGCGCGGAACACTGTGACATCGTTTCTGTGAAAACACGACGGAGTTTTTCACGGGAATGCGTACCCGGTTGGCGTTGATGCGCGTGAGACATTTTCATTTATTCAGATCGTTTTATCGAGACCGGTCGTTACGCGGTCAACGTCACCCGTGGCTCTAATTCGTCATTGATCTACTTCTGAGCAGTGATTTATAAGAGTCGATAAGACTGCAGATTGTGAGCGCAGATGATGTATATTTCGAAGAAACGAACCTCGCGAGCACGAAGTTTTTTCTGAAAATTTCCGCGAAGTTCTTCTGAAGATTCTCACGAGAGATCGAGGTATCTTCTAAAGATCTAGATTTGTAAATTTCACTTAAATCTTGACACTGTATACGTTTGTGTTATCTCGACTGTTAGAAATGTAAAGAGGCCTTACAATATGTGAAGTTCCCTCATCTTGAGTGTCACGTCGCTATTGTTCGCGTTGTAATCCGAAACGTCCTTCCTCCGGCGTGTTATTCCGAAAATAACCGTTAATTCAAGCTGCCGATATTTATCGCAACGAAACCGAAAGCTGGCCGATCATTACGCTTCCGCAAGCAGACATGTCCTGAAGACAGCATTGTCTCTGCCAGACATCAATCTTCGTGTCAAGGGAACCGCATTCTTACCTGCTCCACGAGTCCTTACGTGCATTCCTTTCAGCGTAATTAATAATCTGCATAATAATGTCTGATGTCCTACAATTGCCGTGAGAGAATGATTAGATCATCGGGCTAGAGCACTGTGCGATGCGTTCCCTCATATATCATTGACCAAGGCGAAGCGCAACACATCCTCTTTCTTCCGCAGAGGAGTATCATTTGTTTCATATCCTCGCAATCGATGACATTGACTAGCTCAGTCATTGAAATCGCCGCAACAATCCACGCGACCCAACTTCAACACAATAGACAGACACGCGAAACTGATCTCTGCGCCTCGGCGTCCAAGAAAACGACAACGATCTTTTGCTCGATATACATCTTCGCTTTGTCCATATCGCGGACACGAGTTCTTCGCAAAAATATATCGATTTTAAAGAGAAGCAGAGGGGAGAGGGACAATATATCGCGCGAAGTACGATAAATACCCTTAAAGAGGAGAAAATTGATCGTGCTTGACTTCTTGAACGATTGCGAAAGAGATCTCTATACTATCCATACTTCTTAAACCACACAGAGAGAACGATTTATTGAATCAAATAAATGTTTCTTTGGAATAGTTCAAACAAATTATTTGGTTGACACAACAAAAATATTTCTTTAGAACTAAGTCGCAAATAAATATTTTTGTTGAGTCAAACAAAATTTTGTTCGATCAATTAGAAAATTCGTTTGGACTATTCCAAAGAAGTGTTTATTTGATTCAATCAAGTCGTTCTCTACATATATATATATATATCAAATCTTTTATTTTCATTATTTTCGAAACGTATCTCTTATGAGTTGGATCATTCTCACATAACTCGGAAGCCAATTTGCACATACATTTTGTACACGGAAAAAAAATTTGGTTGAATTAATCAAATATCTGGTCGAATATGAACGATCCAGAAATTCCAATTGAAGTAACCTGAATTCTGTTTAAGTTAACAAAATTTTTTGTTGACTTAAACAGAATTCGGGGTACTTCAATCGGAATTTCTGAATCGTTCATATTCAACCAGATATTTGGTTAATTTAACCAAACCTTTTTTCCGTGCAGATTTTCGCGAATTGACAAATTTTTGTTGCGAAGCACGATACATTTCCCCCTTGTACATTAACGCAGTTCGACTCGGCTGCCAGAACGTGAAGATTAAATTCGCGCGCTCGCGATTTCGTCCGTCTTACCGTGTATCTCGTGATCTTCGGTGCATCCTTGACGAAATTGGTGGCGGTGGTGGACTTCTCGGTGTCGATGCGCGTCGCACCGAGCAGATTTGAGGCGCGTATGTTCTGCATGACGAACGACAAGTGTCCAAGCGAACTTTGCACTTTCTCGGCACTATCAAACCACGGGCGAGATCGACGAGGCTTGGCTGTCGATGCGTGTATGAATTACGGGGACCGACTGTGGGAGCGAGTTACTGCTAAGCCGACAACACGATGACCGTTGTCGTCGAGGTGGTAATCTAACACTGCGCATTGTGATAGGATGCCGTCTGTCTTATATACGCTCGGTAGCAGCAATAGGCGTTCTTACAGGTTCAGGGGACAGGCAGATATAATTTAGAATACGCAGGATCGCGGTAACGCCTCCGTTTGATACGAAGGATATCTAATTAGCCTTGTATCGACCGCTCGACAAGCACGTAATTATGCCGCGGCTTCGTGTAATTTTGCAAAAATTTGTATTATCATACGTGGAAAACTACATCCAAGTTTTCCAACGGCTTTCCATCGAGACATGTCGCGCATTATAGTAGATCAGTTATACTAGGGGTGAAATCGATATTCTTGAAGATATTTCTTTATCATAAAAATTTGTCAATTCGCGAGAGTTCGCAAAAGGTATGTGCAAGTTGACTTCCAAGTTATGCGAGAATAATCTAACTCACATGGAGTATGTTTCGAAAAAAGTGAAAATGAAGATTTGATACATGCACGGAGAAAAATAATTTTGCTCTTTTAGCGAAATCGTCGTTGCTACTGCATATTCGTAGTGATATCAAAAAAATTTAGTTGATATAACTAATTTTACGTTATCAGAGTAGTAGTTTTGTTGTCAGAATAGAAAAAATTTGTTGAGTGTATTTGTCCCAAGAATCACGTTAATTTGCTATTGATGCAAAATAATGTACTCTTAGCAAATTTATTTGCTATCGGAGCAAAACTGCAACTGCTTATATAAATCCATCGTGGTTCTTATAACAAAATAATTTGTAGATTCAGCAAATTATACCCAGTAAATAATGATTAGTACTCTTAGCAAATCTTTTTGTTGTCCATATAATAACGAAAAGATTTTGCTAGACCAGCAGAAAATTTGCTGGGCCAGCAAATTATTTTGCTCTGTGTAATTTAAGAAGTATGGATAACACTGAAGTCCTTTTTGCGCAATCCTTCAAGAAGTCAAACATGACCAACTTTCTTCTCTTTAAAGGTATTCGATGAGCTTAAACCTTAAAAAAAAAAGAAAATAAGTAGAAAAGACGCAATTAATGACGCAACTGGTAGAAAAAAATCTGTTTTTTTTTATTAATTTTAAGTGCTTATAAGGCTTGGATCTTTTTGTTTCATGTAGAAAGACGTGCATAGACTATCAATTGGTAACAAAAACTCAAAAATCATAATTTTGTGGGTTGGATCATTTTTGCATAACAGTGATCGAGTGAGGAGCCTTTTTTGGGAACATTAACTTTCATACATAATGGTACATGGAAAAAGGAGAATAACGAGATTCTGCTTAATCAGAATCTTGTTAACTTGAACGGAATTCTGGTTCGTTCATACTTCACCAAACATTTGATCAATATAAACAATCTTCTTGTTGTGCCTAATTCCGTGACTATACCATAGGATCTCTTAGGAGCTGAGCATAATAAATAGAATAAGGAATAAGAAACAGAGAATAAGAAATAAGAAAACGAGAAATAACGCACAATAAATGGAATAAGGAATAGGAAACAGAGAATAAGGAATAAGGAAAACAAGAAATAACGCTATTCCTCTGTTACTTTATTCGGCATTGATGAATTAGGGCTATCGCACACAAATTGACATAACTGCATATGCATAGCATAAGATCGTATGTACCAATGAGCATCGAGTATTAAGTCGCCATATTGGTGTTCGATGCTTAATATTCGATGCTCATTGGTCCATACGATCTTATGCTATGCATATGCAGTTATGACAATTTGTGTGCGATAGCCCTTAGGTTTCACGTTTTAATATTGAACTGTTCTATATCTTCTGTGTTTCCTGTTCCTGTTCTCTATTCTTGATTCCCTATTCCTTATTCCTTTTATTGTACTCAGCCCCTTACACTCTCAGATTGCATGAGTTCCATGCGTAATTCTCTCGTATACGGAGAAAAATAATTTGCTGCAAATTATTCTGCTGGTCTAGCAAAATCTTTTCGTTATTATATGGACAACAAAAAGATTTGCTAAGAGTACTAATCATTATTTGCTGGGTATAATTTGCTGAATCTACAAATTATTTTGTTATAAGAACCACGATGGATTTATATAAGCAGTTGCAGTTTTGCTCCGATAGCAAATAAATTTGCTAAGGATACATTATTTCGCATCAATAGCAAATTAATGTGATTCTTAGGACAAATACACTCAACAAATTTTTTCTATCCTGGCAACGAAACTATTTCTGCTCTGATAACGAATAATTTGTAAAATTAGTTACGTCAACTAAATTTTTTTGATATCACTATGAATATGCAGTAGCAATGACGATTTTGCTAAAAGAGCAAAATTATTTTTCTCCGTGTATGAATTGTACTCCGACAGGACGACATGTCTGAGCGGCTTGTCGCTTTAGAAGTTATAGAAAATGGGCGTTGCATACGAAATTAGAAAATAATTGCTGTCCGATGTTTGTTTCGCTCAATGGCCGTACACGGGGGATAACGAGCATAAATTGATACATGGTACGTGTGGTTTCAGCACTCGAACCGCCGCTGTGTGCGCAGTCGCCGGCTAATCAGCGCTGTTTGCCGTATGGGACGGTACATCAAAAATCGATTGAATTAATACGTGTCGCTAGTGTCGTGTTTGTGCAGCTTAGACGCGTGTTTCGCATCCGGGAGCAAATCGAGAGCTTGACAAGAAGTCTTGTCGCGCGGGATTCATCGTTTTTTGCATCGAATCTTGTCCGAATCGAGATTTCCTCAGTGTCTCTTTTCGTCACGCGATCCAGAACTGTTTATTGCAACGATCGAATACAAACTATTGTGATAGCCATTGTTTACAGGGAAACCGGTTTAATCCTGAGCAGGTTCGGTTTTCAGTGTCGTAGACACGACGGGAGGAGAATGTATCTCCTCGGCCTATGTGCTTAATGTGTGACTATTTGCGATATCTCGTTGTACTATTTACGTCCTAATACGATTGTGCCGAGGAGCAGCATAGAACGGGACATGCTAGAAGCAACGACTGAGCACTCCTCGTTGTGTCCGTGTTGCGAAGGTCACAAGATCGTAATCGCGCGGCTCTGTGCGTGAAACAGAATACGATACCTTGAGGAGCGAGTGTCATATCGTTCAAGATTAAGGCTATCCCCTTGCCCTAAAAAAAAGTGCATACACGTGTAACTGATCGGTGGATCATTACCAGATACAATTTGCCGAGCCCGAAGAGCGCGGGCAAATTGACGAAAGCACGCAACGGACGTTCGCGGAATAACATACGGAATGTCTCGCCGAGTATCGCGGTGCCATTAGAATCCACGTTACGACAGACTGCTCGATCAGTCTGAAGCCGACGTTTTTCCGCGAGGCAAATAATTTTTTTACCGCTGCACGTGCCACGGTTATGCATTAAACATACGAACTCGCAGGTTTTCGCGCGATCATTCGATTTTCAACGAGCCATCCCGTGACTTAAGTAGCGCGAAGGCGCGGCGCGATAATTACGAAGCATCCCGTAGCAGGTGTATGTATTCGCGCATGATCTGCACATCGCCGCGGCCTTAGATCGTGATAAGCGAGATCGATCGATAAACGGTTGACAATGACATACGGTACCGGCTCTCTCGAGAGCGCTCCTCGTATCCTTTCGAACCGGATGTGGTAGCGGTGACTCCTTCGGAACGAATATGTTCTAAATAGCTTCCGCGTTCGCGGACGCTGTGAGCGGCGGCAAGGTTTTGTTGCACGTCGGCAATGTGAAGGCATTCGAATTTCCGAAAGGTCTTTGCGTCAATAAATTCGCGGGCGAAAGCTTCCAGATGTAGGCGTGTCCAGACGTCACGTTCGCGGACTTACTCGAAAGCTACCGGGAATACGTTATATGTGTAGCACCGCCTTGTGTGGTCATTTTTTTTCACTATCTTGTGAATATTTCTGTCGAATGGATAAAAGTTTTTGTCGTCTTGAATGATACACGAGGAGAACGTTGTAACTTTTTTGCTTCTTTTCTGTATAAATTCTTTTCAATTTTATTATGTTTCCAGTGGTGTGCGCGAGAATAGACTGTCAATAAGGTCTGTCTTACTGAAGGGCATAGTAAATTTTGTTAGAAGTACGACAAATTGCTTAATAACATATTATAGTTCCTAAAATATATAAATGTCATGTGCACAAAAAGTATTCATAATGAAAATTATTATAGTAATTACACTATAATAGTATACTATATATATAGTAAAAATTGCTATAGTAATTATATAATACAAAACTATTTTGTAATCGAGAGGAATTGATCAACATTCCGTGGTAATTGACTATTCTTTCATTTCATGTGTTATTTATGTTTTAAGAAATAAAATGTTCCGTCAAAAGATTTATTGTTTCTAGCAAAATTTACTATGTGCTTTAGCAAGATAGAGATCTTACATTCTCCTACACTATTCAAAACACAATAAAATTAACAATAATTTATATGAAAAAAAAACTATTATAATATTCTTTCTCTGAAGTAAAAGGTTAATAAATTATTGTGTGTGTGTGTGTGTAGAATGTCGATCTGTTACAAGGTTTTTTGTTACAAATTTCTATATAGTTTTTCTATGTATACATGATGCTTATGCAATTTTATTACCGTGCATTGAAAGAAAAAAATAATTGATCTAATTAGAATTATTTATAGTTATTTTTGGATATAAATCATATCTTTTGTAGTAAAAATGCATATAATGTTGTCATCACTAACATCATAGTAGAATTTTATATAAAAAAATGTTTTCTTGATTATAATTTACAATAATTATCTCTCTATGTGATTATAGTCACAAATATCAAACATTTTTCTTTCAATATATCTTGTACAAGAAATCGAGATCCGAGTATCATTTTTATAATGTAGCCAGTGAGCGCGAAATTCAATCTTTGCTCGATGAAATCGGATATTTATCGATGTATATCGCATATTGTAATCAGAACGCGACTTTATTTTGTTAATTCCGGCTGCGTGTGAACACACGTTAGTCGTCGAACGAGAATTGATCTTGCTGCAGGCGCAAGAAAACTTAGCCGCATAAAAGTGGAAGCCGTTCTCGGCCCTCGATTCGCCGATCGAGTAAAATCGACGCTCGATAAAAATAGCGGCAGGCGTTCTTGGAATGGGAATAATG